GCACGGCACACTCCTTCCGGCCTCCGCTCCGGGCCCTGCTGCGGCTGGTGTGCCGCCCTGGCCTCGTGTCTGAGGTTGCTTCTGTGTTGGTTGTGTCTGCTGAAGCTGCCCAAGGCTACAGTCTGTATCTGGAACCTTCCTGTGTCACCCTATCAAACCCAAAGGCTCTGTTTGCTCCGCAGACGGCACGGAAGGAGTGTGACCGGCCAGTACAAACAAGCGGAGATCCCTGCTCGTTAAAAATAATCAGACGTGTACTCCAAGCCACCAAGGAGATGAATCTTTGTTGACTCTAGGACAATGTTCAGAGTGAGAAGAGCCAGAGAGGTGTCTGCTCCCAGCCGGACGCCACTCACTGAGCCGCAGAGACGGAGGCTGGAGGGGCCCCCCAGAACTGCACCTCCAGGGTCCACTGCTTCTCCACCTGCCTGTCCCTGGGGGCACGACCTGGCCCTTGGCCTCCGGGCGGGGCACCTGGAGCCTGGCCGGTCGCATGGACTTCTCGTTCCTCGGGGGCCGGGAGTGAGGGGGTGGCGCACATACCCCCAGCTCGGGCCCACTCCGGTCCGGGATGATGTCGTGGATGTTCCTGTAGTAGCCCAGACACAGGGTGCTGCAGCGCACGAGGGCGCCCATGTACAGGGACAGGATGGGGATGAGCAGCGGCTCCTGACACTCCAGGTGGCTGTGAAGCAAGATGGCTACGAACACGACCTGCGGAGAGGAATGGGGCAAGCGGGAGACAGTAACTCATCAGCACACGAGCTCACCGCCGACGCGCTCAGGGAACAGGGGTGCAGGTGGGAGGGCGTCGGGGGAGGCCGTGGTGCGAGCTCAAATTTATTCTTCCAAGGTGTGACTCGAAGTCAGACAAGGTTTAGAGCTGGTTCGCCGGGGATAGCCTCGGGCCAGATGGTGTCTGAACCCGGCTCCCGGGCCGACTGCAGGCCACTGGGGATTTCTCTGGACCAGTGAGCCTCCCCTCAAGGAGGGCAGGACGGCTCTAGAGCCAGAGGCGAACGGCCCGAGGCATGATGGCAAAGTGGGCTGGGGTCTGGGGTTTGCAGCTACCCTTGCGTGCTGGCTGTGTCTCAGGCAAAGGCAGGTTTTTATTTTTTTTTTAATTTTTTTTTGCTATTAAGAAAACACATCTATGGGCATCCCTGGTGGTGCAAGGGTTAAGTATCAGCAGCCAGGAGCAGGAGTTGGAACCCCAGCCAGGGAGTGACCCACAAGGTGCAGCAGGCTTCTCCTGTCTCCCTGCTGCTCCCCTCAGCAGTGGACTTTGTCAGTCTGCCTGCTCTGCTCCCCACTCTGCCTCTGGTGAATGCTCTCACCCCCACACCTCGGGCCTACACCCCAGCTCTTGTGTGCCTAAGTAGACTGTTTCCAAAGGGTGGTTAAAAGGCTAGTGTGCTCAGTGAATCACTGCATGGGTGTGGAGAGTTGGGGAAGGGAGCTTAGCAATCCGTCTTGCCGCGGCCTGATGAAGAAACCATTCTCCCGAGTCACTGTGTGCAGGAACCAGGTCTGATTTAGAGGGCATATGAGCAAAGTCTGATGTTGTGCTGAAATCTTTCATGTGGTCAGGTTGGTGGGAGAAGAGAGGAAGGACAGAAAGCTCGGCTGGTGCCAGACCCCAGGAAACTGGGCCCCGCAGCGAGTGCAGGAAAGGCTGTGCCTCAGGCCTGCACAGGCTGGCGGCCGCCTCCTGGCCTCCCTGCCCGGGGCTGACACCTGGGGGCGGCATTCAAGAATGAGTCCTGATTGTTCCCTGGACAGCAGGGCACTAGACCATCCACTGTGAGGCCACAGAGGGCGCTGTGAGCCCAAGGCGCCCCCCAATATATTCTGGTAATGACTTTGGAGTCGTGACAACACCCTCGAGGTCAAAAGAAAGGGCGAAACCTCAGATACTACATCTGGATTCCGACACCCCCCGCCCCCCTGTAGCGAAGGTGCACACAGCTAGCGCGTTAACAGTGGCGCGGAGCCCTGACCCCACTCCCATGGGGTCCAGAGTAGAGTTTGACTCCTGGCTCCCCCTTAGTGAGCGACTGACAGCCTGCGGTCTGTCGGCAGAGGGAGGCTGCACTGTGTGTAGGCCACAATCTGTGCTTGGAGTCGTCTTTCCAGTAGTTACTAAGCACTCGCCTCGATCACTAGACCTGGGATTACCTGGGCTGTCTGTCTCTTCTCAGTGAGCCCTACCAGTGTCCAGGGAGAACAGTCTACGCAGAGCAGGGAACCGAGAGTCGCGGTGACCTGAGCTACTCTGGGCCACGCACAGGGTCAGTCATGCACACGTCTCACCCCTATGTTGGCGACTGGGATCCTGCTCCCGTTACTGGCCATGTTGGCCACGTTTATCAGTCCACAGCTATGTCCACAGAACCGCCTTCCGTCCGAAGGTGTTTTTTCCCCATTTTTCTGCTGTCCATGTAACTTATTTCACATAAACTCATTATTTTTTTCATTTTTTGTGTGCTCTGGGTTTCATTGGCCCTTCTATCTCTGGGTTTATTTTTACGTGGAAGGTGAGATGACAAATAAAAACTTTAATGTTTATTCTAAAAGATGTGTCTTTTGGGTGCCGCCATCTTGTGTTCTTCCAGTAGAGTAACTTAAGACAAAAGAAAAGGCTGGGAAGAAAAGCGTCACCCAGGGAGAAGACAGCCCTGCTCTACATTTCCTGCTGTGGTCAGTTCGCGACGCGTGTCCCAGGAAACCCGTGGGGAGAGAACTTGCACAGCCCGCTCCAACCTCGGCGCAGCCCAGGCCATTGCGCTCCTATGACCGGGTTTCATTTTCCCGTCTGCTGACCAAATATTGGCTGAAGTCCTGGTTCGCCTGGTCTCAAGGGCCCTCAGGCGCGTGGAATGATGCCCGACAGGGCGCCGAGGCCGGGTGGCAGCACTCACCTGAGCGATGACGTCTGAGATGGAGGCACAGCCCACCAGGAAGCTGTATTTGTGTTTTAAGAGGATGCCAGCGTGGGTCCACGCCTGTTGGGAGAAAGACTTGGTGAGACACGTCTCCGGGGGGCGTTATTTCTGGCCGATACGATGGACCGGGCATCCCCCAGCAGACTTTACGTGCCCCGAGCCGCAGGGGCACAGGCCACCCAGTCTTGGGTTTGCAAAACTACCGGGACTGGACTGTGACGACGGCCACGCTGGGCCTCCCCTGTCTGTGTTTGTCACCAGGTCTACGCAGAACCGGCCCTGCCGCTGGGCCGGGCATGGTCGGGGGGTGGCTGGGGCCACCCTCAGCAGACTCAGGGGGTCAGCTTCTCCTTGCAGGCGGTGCTAGACTCCAGCTCTCGCCTGGGGCTGAATTAGTCGCCCCTGCAGGCTCTCACGGACCGGCAGGCGTCTGCTGCTTCCTCCTCCACGTTTGGCAAGATCTGACCTGCCACTTTGAGCCTTTGAGGGAAATCGAGAAGAAGGCCCTTGAAGGGAGCGGACAGTGAGAACCCCACGGAAGGCAGGACAATGTGTGTCTGAGCCCAACCACTGCCAGGCCGTGGTTTGCTGCCCTGCGGCCTCTGCCTCGCTGGCTCACGGGGCCCCCGGGAGCCGAATGTGAAAAGAGACAAACTGCTGACCACACTCGCAAACAGCGGCTGGGGCTCCTGGCTGACCGAGTCGTCTGGACGGTAAGCTCTGCGGTTTTCGGACCTGATCTCTCCCTCCCGCGGGCAGGGCCAGGCTGCGTGCGTGTGTGTTTGGGAGATGACCAGCTCGGTCGAAATGTCCTTTATTTTGATTTTTATCAGCGTTTCTTACCATGCGGATGCTTGGGGAGAACTGACAGGAGAACAGGGAGGAAAAGGGTGCCAATCACAAGTGTTCTGGAAGGCTCTCTGAGCAGATAAATAGGGGTGAAGAGAGGTGGTTGACAGCAGCGACATTTAAGAGGCTGGGGCTCCCTGGGACTAACGGTGCCAAATCCCTGTGTGAGTGGGGTTCCTAGGGCATCTGCAGAGTCCTAGTCCAGGTGTCCGGATGCGAGAGGCCTGGGCTCTGCCGGGCCGGCTCCTACTCGCCGGGGATCTGTGACAGTTATGTGTGCGTCCTCTGACCCATCTCGAAGCACCTGGTGCCCTGCAGGCAGCCCGGGCACTGTGGCAACCTGGCTTTCCAGGCTCCACCCCCTTCACCCTGTTCTGCTTTTCTGAGGATGTGCACGCCGCTGGAGGCCACATACCTGGGAATAAACCCCACCGTGAACATCCGCGCACAGGCGTTCTGCTGGCCGAACTCCCCCGCCCTAAAGTGACACCAGACGGCCTCCCTGGTGGCGCAAGGGCTTAAGTGTCAGCACTGTGACTCTGTCCGCAGCCCCTGCAGCACGAGTTCGATCCCAGCCAGGGAGGGACCCTCAGGATGCGGCAGACCTCTCCTGTCTCCCCGCTGCCCCCTCAGCAGTGTGCTTCGGTCGATCTGCCTGTTCTGTCCCCACTCTGTCTCTGGTGAGTCCTCTCACCCCCTCACCTCTGGCCTGTTCTTGTCTGCATAAATAAATAAAATAAGTCTTTCAAATGACATCACGGTGGCTGAAAGCCCAAAGCACCGCATCAAAACTGAGTGAAACGCCAAAGGTGCCAGTCACAGAAATGCAAGTATGGGCCATTCCGCTCCGGAGGTACCTAGATAAGTTAGTTTCAGATACAGAAAGAGGCGAGTCCCAAGGGTGCTGGAAGGGGAAAGTGGAGAGTCAGTGTTTCCTGGGGCTTCACCTTGGAGCCGTGAGCATTCAACAGAATACGAAAACACTGCGAGCCGTGGACCTGCAGTCGCGAGACCGGTTAAGATGGCCACGTTTTACATCGTGCATATTTTAGTCAGGGCTTTTCGGAGCGCCGGCGCCCGCCATCTTCCTACTCACCATCGCATCCATGAAGGGGAAGGCGGCGAGGTACAGGAAGGCCCTCCTCGTCTTGCCTCCTACCGACTCGTCCACGTGGTGCAGCTTGTTGATAATGTAGTAGCCTAAGTCACTGTAAGCTGCGGGGCCAAGAAGCAGATGGGCGTTAGTTAGGAGAAGCTCTGTGTGTGCTTTTTAGCCCACAAGCTTGAGAACAATTCTAAATATGATATTCATTTTTATAGCAAAAAAATTCCAAAAATGGAGATGAACAAATAGAAGAAAATCATCTACCATCATTTTCCAACCCAGAAGAGGTCACGGTTAACACTGTGGGTTCCAACCCTGCAGCGGTTTTATGAGGGTGTGTGCATGTGTGTGATATAAAAAGGGGATATGCTGTACACACACTCACTCACTCACTCACTCACTCACTCACTCACTCACTCACTCACTCACTCACTCTCTCCAAGCATGAGTGCACCATGAAAAGCTTGCACATTTCAGTGGCTGGACTGAACTCCTTATTCCTTTCTGTGGGTTCACTTAGTACCAGCTGACTAATACATTTAGGTTGCTGCCATTATCCTAATATCACTGAAGGATGCTTGTTTGACATGTCTGAAGGTAAATGTTTACACGTATTGCTAACTACCCAGAGAAAGTTCCTAGCATTTTCAATAAAGCTTTTCAATAAAGCTTCCACAGCTTTTCACCTCTCGCTAGTCTGTTAATTCCCTTCTCTGCCGGGAAGGTGGCGACTCTGCAAACAGTCCTGGCCAGTTCCCAAGTGCCCCCAACATCAGAAGTTTGTGGCCAGTGTGGGACCAGAACGTAATGGGTGCTTCACCAATACAGGCTGAAAGGCACCGGTGTGCAACAGGCATGAAGGAAAGAAGGAAGAGGTCTTCCTTCTGTGGGAGCGGTTTGAGGTCTCATCAGCAAAGATTAAATGAAATGCGCTATTTTCTCTCTCACTGACATGCTGAGTGTACACAGAAAAATAATCCTGCCCGTTGTTTTACACAGTGTCTGAATGGTAACGCCCTTGCAAATAGAAATATTAACGCATTTACAACTGCAGGAGCAGCTTTGAAATAACAGTGATGATAGTACAATAACAATAACCACTTCGATGCGGGAGGGCGGGGGCTGCTTTTTACCACACGGACTGGTAAGAAGAAACAACCCTCAACCCTTGAACTAAGGGGGTCTGGATTACATGCGGCCTTTGGGGTGTTATCAAGGATACTTCGGTGCACCGATGGGCACCCAGCAGCGGCACAGTGCCAGCGGAGGTTCCAAGGAGTAGCAGCTGTGTGGCTAAGGCATCTGGAGAGCCAGGGGCTGGGAGGCCCGGGTCCCCCGAGGAGGGGCAGAGGTGAAGGGAGACAGGTGAGCGGACAGGGGTGCAAAGGTTCCAGGTGTGGAGCATGGGGGGGGGGCAGTGCAGCCACTGAGGCAGCAAGGAGAGAACCCCGGGGGGAGCTTCACAGGTCAAGGAGAGAAGGGGGAGGGGTGGGGGTTGGGAGCGGACGGAGGCAGGGACAGGCAGGCAGCAGAGGGCACACAGGACAGTGGACGCAGAAGGCTTGAGCTGACCCTGGAGGCAGGCAGGGAGAGCCTGGCCAGCCCTGGCCACAGTGGAGAAGCGCCGCCCCACAGAGCTGCAGGAAACCCAGGGCGAGGTCAGCAATCCTCACTCGGTCTGCTGTGGGGGCTGAGCCTCAGCCGCTTGGTCTCAGAGTCTATCCTTGCTGCTGCTTATGGACGGGGGGCTTTGTCTTCCTTCATCCCAGGAAAGTTCCCGGGGCTGGCAGGTGCGGGGAGGTGGTCCTGTCTGTCCCCAGCGCCGTCCCCACCCCGGCAGAGGCCACAGCAGTGGAAGGCGGCCCTGCTGGGTAAGCAGAACGGCGGGAGCCAAGAGCAAGAGGCAGGCTGCTATGAATAGCTCCTGGGCGAAAATTCCCTGATAAAGGTTGCGCTGAAATGGCGCGCCAGCTGCGTGCACTTGGCCGC